TGTAAGCGACTCAAATTTCAACACTTTGATCAGCCTACACTTTTTAATTTGTTAAAACTTCATATACTAAAAACGATTTGAAACCAATGGGCAGTCGGATTACCAGCTTCACTCTGATACGTGCAGTCTTGTTTGTGTTATCGCGACCAACCACAAACCTCCTTTGACTCCTTTGAAACAAATTGATTAAATTGTTTAAAATCATTTAATGCATGTATTTCAAGTCGTCAAAATGGGTTTATGACTACATATGCGATACGCGGATCAACCTCTCAATCTACCTTCCCCTCTAAGTGGCTTACCGTAGAATGTCCTCTACAAGCATGTAATAATTTTGAAAATTAATTCGCAGAATTATACATTTCAAACAAGCGCACTGAAATACTGTTTATACCGAAATACATTTTTATACCAAATAACTATTTTATCCAGTGTTTTATCCATTTAAATTGATTAGAGGGGGATGGTACGTTGGATCCCGATACGCTTTTTAAAATCATAAAAACTGATTTTTATTATAAATGATATTAAATCGATTTTTTGTGAGATCATGTAAAGCACTCTACCATTGTCAGCAGAGGTTTGCGACCTCAATTGACACTTTCAACAAGGAACTTCGACACTTTCAGATTTTGCTGCGATAGAATCCTGACCGAACAAGCATTTGTCAGTCTTTTTACAATGCGCGCTCACGGAGCTGCATTCCCGGATACCCAAAAAACTAATATATGATGTTTGTTTAAATTAGTTGGAGCAATTTGTCACAACAATTGATTGGACAGAAAATCTCTCAAAATTGTAAGAGCGTTAAATAACATTAACAACAAAATTGCGACTACTTTTTGACGATTCGCTTTTTCTCAGTTAAATTTCTAGGTTTTAACATAGAGTTATGCAAGTAAATTGGATCAAAATAATAGAATTGAAAAAACATAAATACCGGAACGCAAAATCAGATCAATACTTTGAACGAACTGATGATAATAATTTTAAAACACTCCTAAAATAACGAGCAATATTTCCAAACATTAAAAACAAGACTGTTCGTTTTAGGGTGAAATCTTGAATATTCGGACTGCCTTTTCATTGGTCTTGGATAATTTGTTAAATTAAATAATGACAAAAAACTATGAATTTTAATCCGAATTTATCAAACTTAAGTGTTGCAATTTGAGTTGGGTATGGAAATAATAAAACCACTCAGCTCCCTCAATTCAATTTGGAACGATTTTTTAGTGTGTGATACCAAAACAAGCATTTGAAGTCATACTCAGTTAGGATAACTATAGTCGTGCACACACTCGACTGGTCTCATGCAGCTCATGAGATCGATATACCGAAGAAACAGAAACAGTAAAAAAGTCTGAATAAAAATACCCCGAGCATATATAATTCTCACTTTCTTCAACATCGGAATTAAAATTCTACTTCAAATATAACTGATAATTTTGCAGCCTAGCTTAAATCCCAACCGAGAAAAGTTATTAATAGACGGTTTTCTTTATTAGAAAAATAAATCAATCAAAATGAAATTTCACTTTATTTGTTCCAAAAATTTTGCAAAACACGCGGAACCCTAAATTCAGACTTCACACGGATTGTTAAATTTAAAAAAAGCTTTAAAAAATTTTAAAAAAGTTTTAGGGCTGGGCGCCAATTGACTTATTTCGGCAATTCGGAAACAAATTTTATATTCGGCTATCCCGAAACAAACTCAAAATTTCAGCATCTTGAACAGAAAAAATATCTCTTCATTCTGGCTGGCTAGAAGTAATTAGCCCATCAGCTAATGTTTTGTTTGACTTTAAGTTGACTTATAAACAAGCCAAATTGGCCAAAAAAGCTTTATTCAGACTAGAACGTAACCACCTTTTCATCGCTGAAAATGCGGTCTCGTTAAACTTTCTTTAAATTTTGAATGGGCAGAATAATCATGAAATCCTTTTTTTTTGGTCAAGTTTAGCTGTTCAAGGCAAGGAAACTACAAAGTAAATTAGAAGGATCCCATTTTTAAAATTTCTGAAAATTGTTTATTCGTAAGCACTTGAAGAACACGATGAAAAAGTTTACCGAGTAAACCAATCAATTGAGTTTCTTTATAACTGAACGAAAAACTTTCAATTTTTTTCAAAAAAATCATGCAAGTTTCTCGAAACAAGAATAACTGATGACTGCAAGCATTCGTATTGCTTCGAAATCCATTACAACCACTCTTTTTGACTGCTGAGAATTGTTGGACTAAAATGTATTGGGCAAATATGCTGAGCCAACAATAACTCTCTGGTTTTTTAGTAGAAATTAAACAGAAAAAAGCAACAAAATTGGTTGAAAACCAGAACCATTTTACTTCCGTTTCATAGTTTTTCTTTATGAAGTTAAAAATATATTTAAGAGAAGAGCTTGCAAAAACAATTATAAACACAAAAAATTGGAAAATGTTGTAGTTTTTCCTAAACGAGTTTCAGAAGGATTATAAACTTTTTTTCAGGCAAGGTCACAGCATAAAGGAAAAATATTAGAAGAAAAGGTGATATACACTTTTTTTAATTTTGAAAATTTGATAAGTGGAAATTTTTAACCTCGGATGGGAGGTAAGGAACAATCTTTAACTTAAATCCAAAATTTTTCACTTAGAATTGGTAAAAACTATAGCTTACATAGCTTACTATAGCTGTTTTTTTTTGTGGTTTCTCTCTTGATGACTAAAGTTTGTCAGGATAAAAGTCAGACTCATTTGAAGCCTCTTTATTTTATCAAATATGACGTGTGGGATTTCCCCTGAAGGTTGTTCCGCAATGACAAAATTGGATTGAGATCAATTATTGCAAGAAAAATTCAATAGATTAAACTGATATCAATTTAAATTTAAAAAAAGTCAGTTGATTAAACAAAAAAATTAAGAAAAAATGATCCGAAAAAAGATCCGAATAGATTTTTTCATCTACTTTTTTCCCTCTTCAAACTCTCGAAAACAAGAAAAGATCAGAAAGTTTTGGTTTCTTTCGTTACGAATTGAATTTAGCCAAAATAGCTTGAATTGCTCTACTGAAGGCGCGAAAAAGCCCCAAAAAAGACGGGAAAAGCGGAGGAAGTGCAATAAGCAGAATGATAGAGCAGAAAAACAGAAAAATTATAATTTTGTGACTTATACGGGCTATTTGATTTATACAGGTTTTACTCTCTCCAGTTTTTCTGAGACTTGATTTCTACATGATTAACGCAAAACCCACAAAATATATGTTCAAAAAATTCGCAGATATTAGTCTGTGGTTTTTTGGACTTAGTGTAAAAAAAACAAGCATCACGAGGCAACATTACCCAGCCCAGAAAAATAACCAAAAATTGCATGTAGTTCATCAGCAGGGGCACAACATCGGTTCTCCGTGATGAGCTTTACAGCTCGTATATTAGTCCTTTCCCTCGTGGATAATTGATCTTAACGATAAGTACAGCGTGCGGAGCGATACTATTTGCGTGACACGAAAAGTTGAGCAAACTTGAATTAAGTTATTGAGCTCGATTTAGAACAAGGCTGTCTTCTTAATTTTGTTTGATTTGACCAAAATAGTTAAACCGAATTCGTTTGGATTTTTAAAATTATTTTGTAAAAATTATGTAAGTAAACAAGGGTAGACCACATTCTGACAATATTCATAAATAACAAATAAACTTTCTTCAAGTTAATGAGTTCATTAAATTAGTGTCAGTGGTGTGATGAGAAATCTATACACAAAAGGTAAGAAATTAGTAAATTAGGCGTAATTGACAACAGTTGTCATAAAAAAATTTTGCAAAGTATTTATAAAAGTAAAACTTTTCTTGACAAAGAAGTCCAAAATGAAGCTTTCAAAGCTAGTTTCCGTGTGGAAAATCAAGTTTTTTTTAGCCTAAATGAACAATTTAGCAAGTTTAACAAGTGGGTCGAAATAAGACTAAAAACCAAAAAGTTTAAACCGGTTTTCTCGGCACTGAGATTTTTTGGAATCTTTCGAATCACAATTGAAAGGGCTTTAATATGAAATAACACTCACCCCAGTCCAATGATTATCTCTGGTACCTTACTCTGCGTGGCAAAAAACTAAAACACACCCGAATGCTAACAATATAAAAATTGTAATTTGTTGAAACCCTTCTTTCATTTGCAAGTTTTAAATGATACAATTTCTGCACAATTACGAATCAGCTGTAAAAAAGTAAGATTGCTGCTACTCAATTGGGAAAAAGTTTGAGCGCGGAATAACTCTATTTATAAGCCATGGGCATGATCGGAAACTAAAAATCTAGCACGCTTTATTCGGACTAAATCGGTCAAACTGACATTTTCAAAATCACCGTACTGAACTGTTAATTACTTGGCATTATGTCATAACCGTATATTACTGATTTTAAATTTTATGCAGCTTTTTAAAGAATATGTCTCTCTGTGAAAAGTTAGTTTCGAAAAAACTTGTCTGTGCAAATTTTTTGGCAAGAATAGTCAGAATTTTAATGCTACTTGCTCAGCACACGTAAATACTACTATAACTTAACTCTACTTTACTTAACATAAAGTGTAATTGCTGTATTACACTTTAGAGTAGTTATTGAACTGAGGATGTATCAGATGCTCATACCTGGTAAACCCTTTCTTATTAAGGAACTCACTAAGGTTTTAAAACAAGCTTTCGAGCAAAAAAAAACGTAATTTTGGGCAAAACCATCCAAAATTCTTTTGAAAATACTCCATTTCAGAGTATGTTTACTCAAAATCTGCATTTGTTGAAAAATGTTTAAGCACAAATTAATCACTACATGTTTATACGCTCTAATGCCGCTAATTCAGGTTTTTTGCGTTTGAAAATTGGTCAATATAACCTCTGAATTGATTTTTTTGTCGAGCAAACCTTTTTGTTGAGAACGCCATTAATGCCAGCCTTAAGCAGTCTTATTTCACAAATGTACTCAAAAAAATCACCTGGCCCTCATATAATTTAACATCTAACACTGAAATGCAGTCATAATGAAAAAATTGAATCTGCGGAAATTGTTTTTTATAAGTTCAATTACACTAACTGCCTGCTTATTTTTATTATATATCTTCACTAGCGGCTTAAAGCCCAGTCTGAGATTTCTAAGCAATGGTTTTTTGGAAACTGATGTTTCGTCATTCCGAATTCGTGATTTTAAAATTAAAATGAATTTATATCAAAAACCATTCCACAACAGTCAAGTTTTTCTAAAATCTCTCATAGCACCAGCGGATTTAGGGTGGGCGGGAGGGTGGAAACTTAAGCACTTTTCCTCTAAGTCCGACCCCCTGCCGACCCAAAGGGTCCCCCCTTTGTACTATTTTGGGTTATTCATTTTTGGCTGACTGACCATCAAACTTTTCTAAAGGCGCCTTTGGCGCCAATATACTAATTTTGAGGGGGAGCGCGCGCCGAAAAACGCAAATTTTTGGTCGAAATTTTCCAAAAAGTGCCTTAAAACGCCTTTTTTTGGCCTTTTTTTCAAAAATTCGCCAGCGGCACTGAAAATTGGGTCAAAATAAGGTCTTTATAGTGATTTGTTAGAGCTCGGAAAATGAAATTGATCGGCCTAAAAAAATTTTGTTTTGAAAATCCGCCCCTCCCCCTCGAGAAAATCCTAGATCTGCCCCTGTCCCATAGAGTTAGAATTGCCAAGGAAGGTTTCGATTGTGAAGATAATTGCGTTTTACGTTTGCTGCGTACTTTGAAGTTTTTAATGGGTGCTTTGAATTAAATTTGAATGGTTGACTTGGTCGAAAATGCTTTTGACCCATGTTACCAGGCTCGGAGGTTTTTCCAAAAACAAACTGAATATTCTCAACTTTCTCTTCGGTCAACCAAATTGATTCTCCGAGCTCCCACAAGGCATAAATATGGATTCTGTTTTACCAAAAACTTTCTAAGCTGCAAGCGAGCTCTTACAAAAATAGGCCAATAATATTGTTTTGGGGTATTTTTTTGCGAAATTTCGATTAAAATTCCGTTTTCTTTTGCGCACGCTACAAAGTTGATAAAAAATTGGAAAAATTGAAGAAAAGAATTGCTCTTCTGTAAATATTTAAGACCATATCAATTATAATAGATATAATAGAGATGAATGACTTCTAAAACGGACAAACTTAAGGTTTTTGAAAATTTTTTTTCGAAGGAACTGTTTTTTTTTAATTATGTCTACTAACTAAAAATATATTAAGGCCATTTATCCACGAGGGAAAGGACCAACGTAAAACTTTACCGTTCATTACGACAGCCGCCGCTGTTGTGCCTCTGCTCAAGAGCTACATGCAGCTTTTTTTGGTTATTTTTCTGGGCTGGGTAAGGCTGCCTCGCCCTCAAGCAACGAGCACGGATCATGATGGGCTTTGAACTTTTTGGTTGAGAGGCGGGGATGTAACCACTTCATTGTCGCCTAATTCGAAACAGATTTGATAATAAAAAAACGAAATCACAGGCTGGGCTCTACCATTGGCAAACTTTTAGAAAAATTACTGGAATTTCATCATAAATGGAGTGAAGTGTAAGTCTTTTAATTTCACTAGATTGAAAGTTAATTTTTCCATAACATAAGTGACGCACCGAAGTTTTTTTTTGTATAAATATGATAATTTCAAGAGTGATTGGAAGTAAATATTCCACTCTAAACTAAAAGGGCTGTTATCAGTCCTGAATTACACAGCGTTTTAGATTTGCGGACTTTAAAGTCTTCACGTTTTTGGTAAATGATTTCTCTTTTAGATTCTTAATGGTGGATTTGAGAGAAAACTAGCGTTTTTATCTATTATTCTCTTTTATTTTAAACAATTTTTTCTCTTTTTTTATTTTATCAAAATAAAGAGGATTTTGCGCATTTTTCCTTATCGTAATTATTGTTCTGGCCATTTCGCGAAGCGACTGGAAAAAATGGCAAAAAGTGGGCGGTTTTTTGCCCAAATTTTAACATCATATTAAATGCCAACCGGTCGTCTTTCAGAATCGGAAAAAAAGCTGTATCGGTGTATGCATTCTCTTTTCATCTAACTCTTTATCCAACTATTTTAGGGTTTTATACATTTTTTGAACTTTCACCGCAAAATTACTGCTTCTTGTCTAATGCAAGTCTTTCCCACGACCAACAAAAACAGAAAATTAATTGAAGAATTTTTTTTCAACATTTCAAGAAGACTTTTTTATTTTTACTTTACTCTGCTTAAATGCATGTTCACTTTCAGTTTTAACACCAAAAAAATCAACCAGATTATGCTCTTTAGATTGGAGAATCAAGACTCGCATGTCAGGGAGAAGCCCAAAAAGTTCAGATTGCCATTTAACACATATGACTCATTATTATTTTTAGAAAGTTGGTTTGTTTTTTCTTAAAAAATGAACAAATCTGATTTTTTCTTCTTATTCTTCTTTTTCTCCTGGTGTATGTGAAGAACGAAGTAACCAAGGTGATGTTCTTTTGTCGAATTTCATTGAAAAAATAGCTTCCCTCGCTATAGTTCAAGAAAATTTCGGAGCTTAATTAATTAGCTATTCACGGGTTATACGAACGAGCAACCATAATAGCATAGGAAAAAAAAAGATTTATTTACTGAAGTTACTTTGTAACACTGAGCTCAGACATCAATAAAACTGTATAAAAACTTCCGTCAGGACTTGCTGGTTCAAAGTTTGAAATTTGTTTCGAGAAAAAAACCAACTTGAGCACAAGCATTTCATCCCTTTCTTGAAAAGTCGGAACAAAACAATAAAAGAAAACATCAAAATTTTTTTCTGATCATAGTTTACAAAATTTCTGATCAATAAAAAAGATTTTTGTGAGCCTCGATAAGCTCTACATCGACGCAAACTTTTCAAACCGAGTTTCATTGAACTTGATTTTGCGAACATTAAAAAACTTTGAACATAACTTGTCGCAACAAACGAGTTTTATTTTGATTTTTGTTGTTTATCTGTGAATACGATACACCTCAAATCATAAAATAGGTATGTGTTATATGCAGGACATTTAGATGTCCCAAGTTTCCAAGAACTTTTGAAATATTTTTGTGTGTTTGCCCGTGTAAATATTTTTGCGATCGTTGCGCGTTCAAAAAACCATAATATGCCACTTTTTTTCAAGTAAAGGCTATTTTTTGTGATTCTATTTTGCTTTTCAAAATAGTAAAAAACAGTTCTTCCAAAACATTACTTTTATTCAGCTTCCCTTTTCACTTAGATAACACTTCCTTGGTAGACTGATAAACCATACTATCTCGCAGCAAAACTTACATAGCAAAAGTCTTTAGTGGATGTTGTTCTCCGAGTTATAACCTTTTTGTTTTTGCTCAAACGAGATACGTGTTATCAGGGACGGATCTACAATTTTTTCAAACAAAAATATATATATATTGGCGCTGAAGAGGCGCCTTTAGAAACATTTTAGAGTTGGTCGGCGTAAAATAGATGTCGAAAAATGATACCGAAGGGGGACCATTTAGTTGGTGAGGGTGTCGAATCCCTGAGAGGGGAGTAGGGCGTCCGCCCCCTAAAACCGCCTCTCGGTTTTATCAACTTTAAAAAACTGATAGGTATATTCAATTTTTGTTCGAAAACAGTTTTAGTTGTTTCGCAACCCATCGAAAATCTAAACTGAGAAAATATTCTTTGAATTAGAAAGCTAAAACGGATCTCGTCTGTTCGTATCAGGGCCAAGCCCTGAAGGTTCCGATCGTCTTTTTAAGGCTATGGAGCAGTATGGCTATGTACCATGGCGTTAATTGTCCCTAATTGGCCGAATTGGCAAAACTTAAGCCCCCATAACTTTAAGGAAAGTAATCACAAGTGAAATATATTTTTAAGTTTGAGCCCATGAGAACAATACCTTTCGGCTCATTTCTAAAAAACCGTCGAAAAGTGCTAGTTAAAAAATCAAAAATTGTCTGAAAAAAAAAACCAACTCAAGCACAAATAGTATGTCACTTACCTCAAAAATCGGAGCAAAAGCCAATTTTAGAGTTGCTAATATGAATCAATTCGCATGTAAGAATATCCAAATCAAGTTACTTCGAAAAAATTATACGCCATTCTTTTTTTACACATTTGTTTCATCATTTCTAAGCAAAACAAATTGATATTCAGTAGCATCAAAACAAGCCAAAATTTATTGCATCTGAATACGGGAAAACTATAAGGCATAAAGCTGGACCTAATTTTCAAAAAACTTTTATCCATCTTAACGGACTCATAATGTTTTTGGTCTCGTAATAATTTATTTGATTTCTATAATCTGGCGTTCAATCATTGCTGTGGTGTAGTTGTTTACGATTGCTATTTTAATTTTTTGTTAACATTGTAATTTTATGGTCAAAAGAAATTTTAAAATTTTTTTGTAGTTTCAATTAAACACAAACGAGACATAAATTTGGCTTCACCTGGAAATATTAAATTTTGATATTGTCTTGGTGACGCAATTATTCTTCTACGTCGTTTCAATGTTAATGAATGATAAGGATTATTGTTCACTTCCATTCAAGTGACACCGTGATTTCTGTACTCAGTTCTATGAACAATACTAAGGGGAGACAGAACGGATAAACGTGCGTGTTATAAATGAGAGCAGGTGTATTAAATACGTGAGCGGTTTCGTTTTGTTAACATTTTGGTATTTGTGAAAGGTTGAGACTTCGAGTAGGTCGTGAGGTGATGTGAAAATTGTTACTAGTTTTGCAAATACTTTTCCAACCAACAAATATATACATATTACAGATTAAAATCCTAAGTGAATTAATATAATTGGTTATAATTAATTTATTTTTTTTAAATGAATTATACTCAATCATAATCGATTGCAACTATAATGGCAACTATAATGGCAATTATAAGCAACTATAATGGCAAAATTTTGATGAAAATAAATTAATCCTTGATGATTTTGATTGATAAAAATTACCAGCATGGTTTCACCAGATTGCATTTTGTCTTGAACACTGCAAATTGTAGCAACACATGCCATTTTTCTTAGTTTCTTCTTTTCCTCTTTAAGAATGTAATCAAGTAATTTATGCTTCATCAAACCAAGAATTCAAATTGTAACAGGGTTACTCGTATCACCACGTTGCTTTTGATGTGATGACTGCTTTTTAGGTTCCCACAGGTTCCAAAAAAATTATCCAAAAAAATTATCCAAAAAAATTGATAAAAATTACCAGCATGGTTCACCAGATTGCATTTTGTCTTGAACACTGCAAATTGTAGCAACACATGCCATTTTTCTTAGTTTCTTCTTTTCCTCTTTAAGAATGTAATCAAGTAATTTATGCTTCATCAAACCAAGAATTCAAATTGTAACAGGGTTACTCGTATCACCACGTTGCTTTTGATGTGATGACTGCTTTTTAGGTTCCCACAGGTTCCAAAAAAATTATCCAAAAAAATTATCCAAAAAAATTGATAAAAATTACCAGCATGGTTCACCAGATTGCATTTTGTCTTGAACACTGCAAATTGTAGCAACACATGCCATTTTTCTTAGTTTCTTCTTTTCCTCTTTAAGAATGTAATCAAGTAATTTATGCTTCATCAAACCAAGAATTCAAATTGTAACAGGGTTACTCGTATCACCACGTTGCTTTTGATGTGATGACTGCTTTTTAGGTTCCCACAGGTTCCAAAAAAATTATCCAAAAAAATTGTCCAAATAGCTCGCCTCAGTCCACTTTGATACGAGTTATAGACCGGAATATGTTCATACTTACCGTTAATAGCCCGAATGATATTGCCTGTAAATGCCTTTTAAATGTCTTTTAAAACTCCAACAAAATTGGCTATTTAAATAGCGGAAATTGGTCAGGAGAAAAAAATCTGGAGTAAAAATATTCCGTCTTATTCTTCGAAAGTTGGAACAAGAGTCACCAAGTGCCCTCCGTGGATATCAAATAAAATTAAAAACCTCATCACTAAAAGAAATAAGCAGCATCATTTATTGGTGCAAAGTAAATATAATCACTTGATTAAGCTGCGGTATAAGGAATTAAATGACAGAGTTAGATCAGAAATCAGAAGCTCTAAGAAAAATTTTTATATGAAGAAATTTCAAACATGTGGCGACTCCAGACAAATATATAAATTTTTAAATATGTTACAAGGATCGAATGGAAGTAATAGAGATGTCAGTGATATTATTAGTGAAAGTGGCGATAGTCATACAGATCCACAGACAATTGCAAACGACTTCAACAACTTTTTTGGACAAATTGCAGATAAATTGGTGAAACAGTTATCAACTCCTGAATTAGAAATTAGAATTAAGGAGCCAATTGTATCAATATACCTAAAACCAGTTAATGAAAACGAAATTGCCTCAATTCTATCCGATATAAAATCAAAAGCCTCCGTAGGGCTAGATGATGTTAGTAATAATATTCTGAAAGCATGTGCGTATGCAATTATACCAAGCTTAACAATACTGATCAATGCTTCCATTAAGCAAGCAATCTTTCCCACCGAGTTATCCCATGCAAAATACTGCCATTTCACAAGGATGGATCCAAATTAGATTTAAACAATTATAGGCCAATTGCTTTGTTTTTGACGTTAGGTAAAATTTTCGAACGTGTGATGTTCAACCGAATATATAATTATTTAGAGCAATTTAACTTCCTTAACTGTAAACAGTTTGGATACAGAATCAAACACAACACCATTGATGCCATCGCCGAGGTTACCAAAAAATTGCGCCTTTCAAATAAGAAAATCATTCCATCAATTTTCCTTGATTTAAAGAAGGCCTTTGATACCCTAAATCATGATATCTTAATTAAAAAATTGCCATATTATGGTCTTGTAGGTAAATGTATACAATGGATAGTGAACTATTTGTCAAATCGTAAACAATGTGTAGAGATATCTGGTGTGCGATCAAATTTTCGAACAATGAACAGCGGTGTACCACAAGGATCCAATTTAGGTCCACTTCTCTTTCTTTTATTTGTCAATGATCTACCAAAGGTTAACAATAACTCGGAAGTATACTTGTTTGCCAATGATACCACTTTAGTAGCAATAGATCGATCACTCGAAAAACCAAGTGATGACTTTAATGCAGTTGCGAAATGGCTTGCCGCTAATAGGCTCTCACTTAACATGAAAAAAAAAACAGTTCAAATAAATTTCACTAGGAAAGCGCTTCTAATGAAACAATATTATATGATGGCAAAAACTTATCTTCAGAAATATATTAGAAATACTTAGGTATTAACATTGATTTCAAACTAGGATTTTCTTATGATATTGATTTTATCAGAAAAAAATTACAAAAACAATATGGAATAATTGCTAAAACAAGGCATTACGTGCCGAGCTCTGTTATTTATTGGTATTATGAATCAAACATTAGGTCTATCATTCAGTATGGAATTTTAGTGTACGGATCATTTCTTTTCGAAACAATTGCGAAAGCGTGTCAGATATATTTGTAAAGCACAAAATACTTACAGTTCATGAATTTTATATTTATCAGTGTTTCAAGTTTCTATTAAAGTCACTATCAAACCTGCATTCAGAAAATTATCTCAACTCGTTTTTTACCTTTGATATTTCTATTAAAAGAACCAGACGATCGGAAAAGAATTTACTGAAAATATGTAAGCCAAAATCCCAAATAGAAAACCACTCTTTAACTAAACGGGGAACCAAATTTTTAAATTTTTTTCAGGAAAACGGATTATGCCAATTAATTCGCAGTGTCTAAATGCAAGCCAGGTGTTTACGGTAGCTCACAAATTAAAGTATTTATACATTTTAGGAAATAATGAGTTAACAAATTTTATTTTCGATAAAAAATCGCAGAATGTCTTATCAATAGTACCATATTTTTGATTACCAAAAATCTTACCGTTTGGTTAACCTGTATCAGACTTCAATTATGGGCTGCGAATCCATGCTGAAAGTATGAAGCTCCAAACCCTTGTAGTTTTCGAGATAATCGCATTTTTTGAAAAAAATGAAATTTCCGAAATTAATTAGAAAAAAAAAACTCAAATTTTTCTTACGATCCTTAGTTTTAACTGATGATCACTAAGCTAAGATGCAATCATGATCCGGATCCTCTAATAAGTTCTCGAAAAATGTTTTTTTTCGAAAGGAGTGGAAAAAAACAAAGTGAAAAAATTTTCATTTTTATTATTTAAATACTTTTTATTTATAGTTATTATACTTTTCGTGTCTTACTACTACCAGGGTAGACGTCAAGCGGGCAATTATTATGCCCTTGGTCTATCCTCTTCAGATATGTTATAGAAAACGTCAGATATATTCAATGATGACTATTAAAAATGTGTTTCTTCATTTTCTATATTTTTGCATTTAATTGTCTGAAGAAATAAATTCCTCTTCTTCTTCTTTAAGAGGAGAATAACAGTTTCTTGTTTACACTTGTGGTTTCTTCTAGCTAAATTGTCCTTTGAAGAGAAGAATCCTTCTTCAGGATAGCAGCTTTAAGATATTTATATTCTGTATTCCATCATGTTTGGCGGGAAGGAAAAAAAATGATTTCAGTTAAAACAAGTTTCGTCAATTTTTTTATAACAATTTTTCTTACAAATAGATTAAAAACGCAGTCAAAAATGTTTCAAATCCTTTCTCTTTGATATGTCATCCGAAAAACTTTGAAACTGGTTGAATGAAGTTCGAACAAACATTTGTGAGAGTAAAAAAAACTAAATATTTGAGATTCAACTTATCGATTGTTTCATTCAAACTGGTCTTCAAATTTCAATAAAAGTTTTGATTTGAAAATTTATTCTAATTGTTCCGAATTTTGAAGAAAATGATGGAATATTTGTGCTTGGGTTGGTTTTTTTTTCCATACAAATTTTGAATTTGTTACTAGTGGTTTTTGATGAAAAATCAATAAAACGTCTTTTTGTCCCGAGCTCAAATTCAAAAAGATATTTTACCTGTGATCATTTTTTTGTGAAATAGTGGGGTTTTAATCCGTCTTAGAAATCGTTGCCTGATATTTTTTGACAAGTTGAAGTGTATCTTATATTGAAAAAAGCATTAACATTTTCAGGTTTGTTTTCGCAAAAAAAAATTTTAGTCAACTTTCTTTCTGCTGTATGAAAAATTCAGCCTGAATTACGTTAAGGACAAAAATAAAAAAATTGCATGAAATTTTTTCTCTTCAAAAAGAGCTTATTTCAGGATAAAAGTGATATTGATACTAAGAAATGGGAAAAAAAAATTCTCTGGAACTTGAAATTTAGAATTACTTACGATACGATACAACTTTAATATATAGCAATTGTATGATAAACATGTTTTTCATACACTCCGTAAATAATTTAGTTTGATAAACAATTTTCTGGTATGGATTTGTATGATAAGCGTTTTCAGTGTACAAAATCTCAGCTCCGAAAGTTTTGAATTCCTTTATTTGATTTTTATTATGATGAAAAAGAATTTTTTTTATATGATGGCTCAGTTTATCAAAAGATACAAAGAAATTACCAAAGTTTTTTTTTCAAAGTGTTGACCATTATGGTTTCAGCAAAAATTAATTTGCATTTCGAGTAACTGATATTTAAACTGCTCATTCAGAAATGCCTAATTTTTTGGGAACTGCTATCTCAAAAATTTTTCCTACCGATTCCACAACTGTGGTTTCAACTTACCATTGAAATTTGCTTGTATTTTCTTGTTCACTTAGTCAATACAAAAAATTGCAAAAAAAAACAGAAAGATATTGAAGAGTGAAGAACACGTTTTATTTTGATTGATTGTTTTTTTTTGTTTTGCGAATAACATGAATTGTTGTTTTTGTTTAAATATATGATTTGAATATTGTTGATGGTTCAGCAGTTTTCTGTCATTATTCTGAATTTCATAGATTGTGATGAAATATATGTGCCCGAGGTGGTTTTTTTCCTCATGAAAAAATTCGACTTTTCAATAATCTTTTTCTGACTAATTTTCCTACATTATCTAATAGCTATTGATGCCTTGTTAACAAAATGGAAGATATTTACCCGCGAGAAAATTAGTTTAAAATTTTGCAGGTTTGAAAATTAACGCGCCGATGTATTCTTTTCATCATCCTTATAACGCCGGAGCAACGAGGATCTACTTAACAATCCCTTCAATGTATCTACTTATAATATCCACCCTTATAAATAAATTCAGAGAAATACCACGTTTTTTATTGAGATCTCTAATTTTGCTGCACTCTGTTTCGTCAAAAATTCTACTAAATAAACCTGACTAATAATCTCTTCCTTTTAAAGAAAAGGGATATTGTTAGGTTGTCCAGCTGCGTAAACATTCCAATTTGAGTTGAAAACAATTATTGATCCCAATAAAAGCTAAGTGGATGCTAAACATCTCAGCTTTAAATTTAAATTGATGTTTTTTTTTTGAAAAATTGTGTTTCAGAAGCTTCTAGTGATAGGCACTTTTATGACCTTGCTCAGGTGTTAGAGAGTGGCCGATTTGGGGTAAAGGGAGGAGGCGGGGGGAGGGGGGGGGGGGTTTTGGAAGGAGCGAACGCCGCAACCCCGAACCCCCCATTAGAGGATTCGACCGCTTGTTTGCCTTTAATTGAGGACAACAATTTTTAGCTGGCAAACCAATTTTTAGAAAATTATTGTGATCTTTTCCACTTTCCTTTACCTTTCAATTTCAATTTATAAAAATACTTCAATTTTGTCATAATGTTGTTTGTTCCTTTCATCGTATCATCACTCGTTGAGCCATAAAAACAGGTACAAACAACTTTAAAAATATAACAGTTTGAAAGGTGGGTGGGTGAAAGTGAAAAACCAAAATTTGGTTAAAAAAAACGTCTATATATTAATTTGGTAGAGCTCAGAAAATCATTATGTTCGACCTAAAAAAAGCACCAAAATTTTGCAAAACTTGTTTGAAAATCCACTTTCCTCTCGAGAAAAACATATAACCGCCCCTGGTGTTGGTTATATATTCAATAAGCAAAGAATCAATAAAAGTATTAATAATGAAATTTTGACTTTTTTGTTTTCTGTTTCCAAAATGAATATCAAAAAACACCGTGGGTGTAATGAGCTTAAGTTATCAAACTGTTCTTCTAATAAATAGGTTCAGATTATTAATTCGTTCTGCCGCTGAAATTGATCTGAGTAAAAAACCACCCCGAGCTTACCTAATCCATACTTGAAAAAAACAAGGCTATAAAGTCTTATTGGCAGCCTTTTTATGCGTTTTAGTGCGCTTGATCCACGTGACGTCAGATTAACATCTTCTCGTTATGATCAAGGACCAGGAGACAAGAAGGATCGGCGATATGATACAATAGCTGGCTCATATTATTTAAGACGGGCAAAAATAATAGTTCTTGCTTTTTTGCCAACGAAAACCAGTTTCATAAGAAATCCCTCTTGCTATTTTAGGATCGTCGATATTTTAGGATCGGCGAAATGATTCAATAGCTGGCTCATATTTTTTTAGACGGGCAAAAAATAAAAGTTCTTGCTTTTTTGCCAACAAAAACCAACTTTATAAGAAATCCCTATCTTTGCTAATTAAATAAACCACTAAAAAGATAGTTTATTCAGCGCAACAAAGCGATAAGTGAATGCTACCAAATGGCCCTTTTTTGCACATAAGGGCGTTCAAGAACTCCGAAGTACAAGAGAGCAGAAAAAAGAATGCTCAATAGAGCCAAAAATTCACGCTTTATGCATTGATTTAGGTGGGGTCTTGGCTTCGTAAAAATTTGCCCCGAGCTTGCAGCAGATCTATCAGCCAAATGTTTCAGATACTTTCATTATTCACCGACCTTAACTTTTGCCAACAAATTTTCGGGACGTGGATGAGTGATGGACTTCTGGTTGTTCTGATTCATGAAGAGAGGATGTTTTTAGGTTGTAAGTGGCTTTCACTCGTCGAAGAATGAGTTTTTACTAACTACTTTTGCTTTTCACATTTTTGGACTTTTTTTGTTTCGACACAACTGTATGGTTGTATGGGGCGGTGGAGGATTAGATCCAGGGGCGGATTGAGGGTTTCGACCTCCTCACCAACCAAAGGGTCTTCCCTGACATTTGCCGAGATTTAGAGGACAAAACTAGGTTGTTCGTAATAGTGAATTAGTTGATTAGTTGTTTTGATTCTTGGTTGTTTAGATTTAGTTAGTCAGACTTTGACTAATAGAAATATGTTTAACAAAAGTGTTGAATAAAGTTTACATCTAACAAGCGATGATAAAGAACATAAGAGTGAATCATACACAGTGTGTCACTCAGAAAAGCCAAGCCAGTGACCTTGAGCGGACTGGTATAATATATCTGCAGCATAGCTGCAAAAGGCAATAACAATGAGGTACTAAATGTCGCCTCATTGGCAAAAGACAATATAACAATGAGGTACTAAATGTCGCCTCATCACACCCCTTTGATATTATTTCTTGTTATCCATTTTCCTCCGACCAACACTAAAGCTTTTCTAAAGGCGTCACTTCGTCGCCAATATATACTAATTCTGAAGGGGAGAGCGCGCCAAAAAAACCCAATTTTTTGGTCAAAATTTTCCAAAAAGTGCCCGATCGACCTAAAAAATTTCATCAAAACACGGCTTTTAATAAATGAAACAAAGAAACATGAGTATAATGGCAAACATTGAGCCGCAAAAAAAAACTTTGGAGGGAATTTTTTGTTTTCAAATCGACAACCCCCCCCCCCCCCCCAAATGTATGTTTCAATCTTGCTATGGCAGGAGCTAGATATATAGGTTTAGTTATATTTGGTCGAGATACTAATACCCGAAGACAATTCAAAAAATAATTTGCCTTTGCCTATCTTCTTGGGTCACTTTTGATGTTTATTAGTCAGGCTTTACCCGGGACCACAAAGAACATCAGAACATACTTTTAAAAAAACAGTACTAAACATCATGCGCTATTCGCAGCAAAAGTATATCGATACTTTGACTAGAAATGACAAAAAGTAACCAGCCATTGTTTCATTCAAATCGCTTTCACACAGGTCATCTTCTTCTCTCGTTTGCGAATAAGCAATGGAGTTCCGGAGCGCGCATTCACAGGAAATGTTCGTTCGCAATGTGACCTGGACTTCAACTGTCATTTCTACTCTTCTAAAAATCAATCTAATCTGTACCAACTCGAGAAGTATGACCTCATAGTTGTCGAAATAGATGAAGGTGAGAAAATAACATATTGCAAGATATTCTAAATAGAGCCTACACTTTTTTTGCTCTCAAAACTAGGAAATGAAGGAGAGCTCGGAAAGTCAATTTGCTCGACATTTAAAAAACCCGACAAAAAACTTAAAATCGTTAAATATTTAAAAATCCCATCTCACCAAAACTTAGATCTACCCCTAGTCTCATACAGGAACAGAGCATGTGCAAGTTTTGCATTAATAGAACCTGAAAGAAATAAGCATAGATAAATGGTCTAAAAACGTTTTATATTTTAATCCCCGTTTTTGTCTCCATTTTCAGTTCTGTTTTTGTGAAGGGTGACTGAATTAAATGAAAAATTGAGAGAATCAAATTTCGTCTAATTTAGTCTAAAAATGAAAACTGAGACCAGTTTTTCTCGACACTGAGCAATTTCTCGACACAATTTTTCAATTTTTTTCTGTGATCAAATAAAATAAATGTTCCAAATTGTGCAAGAATCAAACAACACACAAAAATAATCATTGAAAAACCACCAACTTGAGCAACTTGAGCAAGCTCAGAAAGTAATTCAACCAGTTAAAGCGCCGCTGAGAACTTTCTTTTAAGTATTGCCTTATCTAGATCTGATCGATTAACTTCAGCACTATTTTTCCAGAAAAAAGAGAAAACTATTGTTTAAAGTTTAACTATGATGCCACACTTGACCCTTTAAGGTTTAAATCAGCAAGTCTTAGAACCTTTCAGAGTGACCATGGAATGTCTAAATTTTTCAAAAAACCGAACCCTTTTTTAAAAAAAATTGATTCAACTTCATGACAAGACAGTATCTGCTCATTTTTTGTCAAAAAAGGGCGTTAAAAGATTCTTTTCAGTCTGAAAAAATCAGCCTAAAACATTTGATTTTGATTGCTGCCATGAAATAACTTGAAATAATTCAATATTTTTTTGTTTGAAAAGCTTGCTTAGAAACCTCAAATTTTTTGCGAACCGATTAAGCCTATGAAGTATTTTGATACCTTTCGAAGTTTCCACGCTTGCCTAGAAAAACTTGCTTAGAAAAACTTAATATTTTCGAAAAACCGATTCGGTCTACGAAATAACTTACACTTTCATAGCTTGAATAGTTTTGCTTAGAAAAAAAAACAAAGTTTTTGCTAAAAGGATTCAGTCTCTGAAATATTTCGAATTACTTTATCGCTTGAATAGCTTGCTCAAAAACAATTTAAACTTTGAGGGAATTGATTTGTTTTATGAAATAACTTGAAAAATTTCGAAGTTTTTTTGCTGTAATAGCTTGCATAGAAAACCTATACTTTTTGCAAAACATTCGCTAGATGTAATAGCTTGAAATGGTTCAGTTTTTACTAGCTTCAAGAACTTGCTTAAGAAAATTTTCATTGCTTGAGTGGATTCAATAGAAAAACTTCAACTGTTCGTCAACCAATTTGCTGTCTGAAATAACTTCAAAATGTTTCAAAGTTTACCAACTTGAATGCCCAGCTTAAAAAAACCTAAACTTTTGGTCTATAAAATAACTTGAAATATTGCTTGCTATAATTTTTATTGGTTGATTGGTTTCAATAGAAAAACTTGAACTTTTTGCCACTCCTTTCGTTTTTTGAAATAACTTTCATGAACTTACATAGTTGGAATAGCTTGCTTGAGAAAAAATTTTCGTCACCTGATTTAATCTATCGAAAAACTTGAAGCTTTTGAAATTTTGCGCTTTACAATTTGCTGAGGGTAATTTTTTACTGCAGACCTTGAAAAACTTAAATAGCTTGCTGAGAATACTTTAGTTTTTTTCGCAAACCATTTTTATCTAACTTATTGAAAATTTTATCATTGTTTTAAAACGTACATTGCTTGCTTAAGAAAAAGTTGATTTTGCGCGAACCCAGTCGCTGTTTGAAATAACTTGAAATGTTTCAAAGATTTTTGGCCAGTAGCTTTTAAAGAAAATGTTGACTGTGTTGCTAAGCATCTTGTTCTTTGATTTAACTTGAAAGTTTGCGCAGTTTGATTTCTTAAATAGCTTGCCACAAAAATTAGCTTTTGAGAAATAATTTGCTCTTTAAATCAACTTGAAGATCTTGTTGATAAAAAATTATAAGTTTATTGTAAGCCAAACTGCCTGTTTAATACAAATCAATTCAAATTGTTAAACTTGAATATCTTGCTTTAGAGAAACTCATTTTATGGAAAACAAACATTCATTCGTTCTATAAATTAACTTTGCTCTAAACATTTCAATGTTTCAACGCTTGAGTAGCTTTCTTGGAATGTTTTTCTGTGAATCAAATGATGAGTTTTTCAGTGAGTCAAAAATTTATGAAGGCAAGCTTTTAAGCAATGATTTTTCTAAAGTTAACTCATAGAACATTTGTTGTATGAGTTAACTTTAAAAAATCATAGCTTAAAAGCTTGCCTTCAAAATTTTTTGTACACGATTCCACTAATGAAGTAAACCAACATGTTTCAAAATTAAACTGCTTGAATAGCTGGCATAGAAAAACTCGGAACATTTTGAGAAACAGTTACTTCTAAGAAATAACTTGAAACTATTTTATAGCTGGAATAGGTTGCTTATAAAAGCGCAACTTTTTTGTGAGCTAGCTTGGTCTTTTAAACAACTTGAAAAACGTTCATAGCTGGAGTACAGTGGTGATGTAAACTATTCAGGCAAAAACAAGGAAACTTGAAATTAAAAACGATTGTTTGTCAAAACGGGTTGAATGTAGACAAAAGTGACGAGAACAAAAATTGCTTCGAATTTCAGCGGCTTTCTAGAACATAATTTGTTTTGCAATTTTTGGGATCAAAGTTTTATCCCAAAAGCGATAATTTTGGTTTTTTCTAGTCAATCAAAAAATACGCCAGATCTACCTGTTCAATTTTTAGTTTTGTCATAAGATTTTGAATACAAGTTACGCAATACAAATTGCCTCAAAAAATGCTGCGATGCATCTTTACTTCTTATCACTCTTTGTCTAAGCTCAACACATTTTGAGAAAAACGCGTTTTAATTTCCACTTTTCAATTTTTTTTGTTTTGTCCGCATAATTTAAATCAGCTCTGTAGCTTGCTTAGAAAAATGTTTTCAAATGTTCGCAAAGCAATTCGGTCCATGAAGCAAATCGAAATATTTGAGATTAAGAAATTGGATAGCTTAAATTG